AGTGCAGCCCGGAGCCACAGCCCAGCCCCTCACTGAGCCCAGCTCTACCTGTGGGAGGTGATGACAATGGCCTTGCCGGACTCTCGGGCCCGCGCCACTGTGTCCCAGAGCAGGCGCCGGGCCACGGGGTCCATGCCCGTGGACGGCTCGTCCAGGAAGATGACTGCAGGGTCTCCGATCAGGGCGATGCCCGTGCTGAGCTTCCGCTTGTTCCCGCCACTGGAGCAGAGGGTCAGGGACCTGGCTCAAAGCAGCTCAGGCTCTGGGGTCTCGGCGAACCCCAGCCCAGGGATCGCAGGTGCCAGGTGGACAGGGAGGGATGGAGCCTGATAGGCTCACCTCACAGAGACTGCCCCCAACCCAGAAGGCTATCTGTGCAGAGCGGGGCCTTGTCCTGCCCTCAGTGCCCTCCCCTACCGCCTCTGCTCCCCTGCCAGTGTCCTGTTCACAAGTGGCAGGGACATGCAGGGAGGGCCCTCTGTAGCCTCATCTGCATTGTCTGAGGCCCCGGCCATGCCCTGTGTCTGGCCGAAGACTCACGTGGCTGGTGGGGGGTGGGGTTAGCACACCTGTAGGTCCTGACCAGCTTGTTGGCGTGTGGCTCCAGGAGCAGGCCCCGCAGCGTGTTCTCCACACAGGCACCGATGTGGCGCTCAGGGACGCCCCGGAGCCGGGCGTACAGCACCAGCGTCTCCCGTGCAGTCAGGTGCTCCAGCAGGGCGTCAAACTGCGGGCAGTAGCCGATGCGCTGCCGCACCTGAGGGCAAGGCGGCCGGGTGTCTGTGAGTAGGGCCAGAGTTGAGCTCCTTGCCAAGTCGGGGCAGGTGCAGGGACCCCACCTTCCCGAGGTCGGAGCGGATGCTGTGGCCCCAGACGAAGGCGTCTCCCGAGGTGAGGGGCTCCTCCCCCGTCAGCATCCTGAAGGTGGTGGTCTTCCCAGCCCCGTTGAAGCCCAGCAGGCCAAAGCACTCGCCCTTGTGGACGGCCAGGGCGAGCTTGTCCACAGCAAGGAGGGGCGGCCGCTGTTCGTACACCTGTGCCACCGGTAAGCATACTTGGTGAGGAAGCCCTGCCTTATGGCTTCCAGGTGCAGCCTCCAGACCTGGCCCCTCAGCTTGCGGAGAGCAGATCCTAGGACGACCCCTCAGCCCCAAGGAACAGACCCTAGGGCAGCGGTTCTCAACCTGTGGGTCGCAGCCCCTTTGGGAGTCGACCGACCCTTTCAGAAGGGTCGCCCAATGTGTAACAGTAGCAAAATGACAGTTATGAAATAGCAACAAAAATAATTTTATGGTTGGGGGGGTCATCCCAACATGAGGAACTGTATGAAAGGGTCACGGCATGAAGAAGGTTGAGAACCACTGCCCTAGGAGTTCTGAGGAAGAGACTCCACCCAGCCCCTCACTTTACCTGCGTTCCCGCTTTACCTTGGAGAGCTCCCTGATGATCAGAGGGGGGTCCCGAGGGGGTGGGTCCAGCGTTGGGGCTAGCACTCGGCTCCTCTCATCAGCCACATCCTGGTCTTCAGGTGGTACGGGAGCACGGCCATATGCCTCTGTCTGCCACCAAGACACAGCTGCCAGTGAGGGCCAGCAGGGTGGGCAGAGGGGGACAGGGAGGATGGGTCGGATGGACCACTCAGAGGCAGAGACTGGTGAGGACCAGCGGGTGGGTGAGCCCTAGGATCGACATCAAAGCCACATACTAACCTCCTCACCCTGAGGGAGGGAGATGTGGGGCCTCCCTGAGAGACGTGTGGACCATCTGAGGCAGCCAGGACAGTGAGACAGACTCTGGGGTGCTCAGGTTCCCACCCCACAACACCAGGGCCTGTGACTGTTGTGGGGCACTACCCAGGCAGGCCAGGTGCTAGGAGACTCACCAGTGCGTGGCGGCGGCGGGCAGCACAGAGCAGGCCCCTCAGCCTCCACAGCAGACTGGTCTCCAGCAGGAAGAGCAGCAGGAGGCACACGAAGCCCGAGACGGCCATGGAGATGACAAACTTGCCCACGCCCGGGGCTTGCCACGCATAGAAGTTCTCCTGGTACTCGATGTCTGCATGGGGGAGAGGGGTCAGCCTGTGTGGCCCTGCTCCCTCCCACGGTCACCGAGGGTCCATTGGGCTCTGCATGGGGTGGGCTGCCAGCTAGGGGGGGGGCGGGGAGGCAATGGGAGGAGTGAGTCACATTTCACGTCTGGGGACACTCACGGTATTTGTGGCAGTAGTGGGTGGCCACCTCTGAGGACGTGCAGTACCTCCGAGTCTCGTAGTTCTCGTAGAAGCTGCTGACGGCCATGCCCAGGCAGTGGTTGGGCAGCACAAGGAACACGTGGTCCAGGGTTCTGGACAGTTCTTCCAGCTTGACCGCTGTGGCAAGGGCATGGGGGCTGGTTGGCCCGGGAAGTGGGGGGGACCACCTCCGCCCACTCTGCTCCCATCAGGTGGGCACACCCCACACAGCCTGGCCCCTTCCTGCAGCAGGACCCACGGGCAGTAGGGCCGGCCCACCTGGGATGCGCATGATGGTGACTACGAGGAAGGTGGCGACGCCCGAGAGCACGTTGAAGATGGTCAGGCGTGTGTAGGCCGTGGCTGGGCCCGAGAAGAGGAAGCTGAGGAGGTACATGAGTGGGACGATGGCCCAGCCGTAGAGCAGCAGCAGTGCCAGGGCGTCCGCCTCGTGGCCGTCCCGCGTGAACGCGTGCACGTCGAAGGCTTTGAACACCACCTGCATTGCAGACACAGCTGGACACCTCCACCCGACCCCAGACCTAACCCCCCAAGGCTGAGGACGAGAGGAGCCTGTGGGGTGTTCCAGACTCTCCCAGACCAGGGGATCCATCAGGATGGGCCCTGGGCAATCTACCCAGGTAGACTCTCGACAGCAGGGAAGCCCCCTGCCTTGTACACACCCCTACCCACCACACTCCTACCCACCAGCAGCAGCAGGCTGGGGACCAGGAAGGTGATGAGGTCCCACAGCAGGGCAGGGAGCCAGAAGGCAGCCACGTGGACACCACTAACGAACTGGATGTGCTTGGCTTGGGTGGCCCTTTCGCCGACAGCAGGGATGGCAAAGGTGCTGGCCAGGAAGGCCATGGCAAACAGCAGGTTGAGGGTGATGTCGAAACCCTTCCGGCCCCTGCAGGGACAGGCTGTCACACAGGCTGGGCATGGCCTTCCTGGGCCTGGCCACCCCTCGGGCGGGTGGGCAAGGCGAGGGAACGTCAGTCCATGGGCCCTTTCAAGCCCCCTGCACAGCCCCCTCCAGACCACTCAGTCTGGGTGAGGGCAGCAGTGGCCTGGACTGGTCACATCAGGCTATGCCCACTCCCACGGACCAGCTGCTTTCCCACCGTCTACCGGGAGGCCCCTGGCGGTAAGAGGGTGCACGCACTCGCTGAACTGATCCTTGGCTGCTTGCAGGGCGCTGCGGGGCTGCGGGTAGTTGGACACCATGATGGAGGCCTGGGGGCCGCAGAGCGTCCTGAAGAGCATGTTGTCCACCAGGGCCAGGGCGGCGGCCGGGGAGTGGTAGGCCTGGTTGTTGAACAGAGCAGTGACGGCCGTCCGCTCCCCCACGTCCCTGAAGGATGCAGCCACCAGGCAGCGCTCATTAAAGCCTCCGCCCTCCACCGAGGCCCGGAAGATCAGGAACTCCTCCAGGTCACCTGCAGAGAGCGGCTGCGTCAGCACCACAGGGACACCCCCCACCCCGGGGACTCGCCCGGGGGCCGTGCCCAGCTTTCTCTGTGCACATATACTGGAGTAGCAGGCTGCGGGGACGTGACCACACACGGGACCCAGGAAAGCAGAGAAGAATCCAGTCCCCAATGCCAAGCGTCTGCCGCTAGGGAGCCCCACTCCCACTGAAGCCCCACTTACCCAGCACCTCCCGGGGCTCCTGGCCCTCAGCCTGCAGCAGGTCCCTCAGGTGCTCTGAGAGCTGCTGCCCCAGCCGTGATGTCCTAGCGGCCGAGAAGGCCACAACGGTCCTGCCGTATGGGCCCAGGGTCAGCTCCAGACTGGGGTCGTCAAGGATCTCTGAGGAGTAGTTGATGGCCAGGAGGGCCAGCGTGAGACACGTCAGCGGGACCAGCACCTGGGCAGCCGCCACCTTCCACTCCCTCCAGCTGTACGCAGCCTTCTTCACCAGCATGGCCCGGAACTGCTGGCAGTGCAGGGCCAGCTGCGGACAGGGAGGCTCCGGGTCACAGAGCGCCATGGGGTTCACGCAGGGTCATGGGGTCCTTCAGGGCCATGGGGATCACACAGGGTCACTGGGTGCTCTGGGGTCACTCAGGTCACATAGCACCACAGGAATCACTCAGGGTCATGGGGTGCTTTGGGCACCCAGGATTTTGGGGCACCTTGTGAGAGCGCTCAAGGTCACAAGGTGCCTCAGGAGTCTCTTAGGGTCATGCGTACCACGGAGGGTCACGTAGAATCACAAAGCTGGGCGATGCTCCTGAACTGGCTGGCGTGGCCCCGTTCTGAAGAAGCTCCTGGCTCTGTTTCCCAGTACCCACCTCGCCCAACCTCTGCTGCCCCTGCCCTCCAAGCCTGAGCGGCTGCGTGGGCTCAGCCTGGTGCCCTGTCCCATGTGCACCACGCTTACCCCGGTGTTGAGCTGGACGCTGGCACAGTCGTCCTCGATGAGGGCGCCGTTGCCGTTGCTGGGATCCATGACGCCGCACAGGTGGTTGTCCACTGCCCAGTCACTGGCCCGCCGCTCGTGCTGGTACTGCAGGGGCGGGAGCTGGATGGCCTGGATGTCCATGCTTGTGTCCACCAGCTTGCCGACCCTGAATCGGGACATGTGGGCCATGTCGGGCGGCTCGCAGGGGCAGGAGGGTGCGCACTGGAGAAGGGCTTGCTCATTCATTGGGGTGCCCTTTCCTTGCCATTCAGAGAGTATGGGCCAGCAGAGCAGAGGCTGGGCTTCGGAGGAGCCCAGAGCTCTCGGGAGACATGAGCAAAGACCCTCTCCCAGCATGGGGGGACGAGGTGGGACCGACCTGACTTTTCTACTCCTAGGAGTCCACTTGAGAGAAATGATACATGTGTCCACACGGAAATGTGCCCATGAGTGATCCCAATGACACTAGTCAATAACTAACCTCCCCTCCTCTCTCACTCGATCTATCTACCATCTTCATTTTGCTATCAACTGTTCTCAGTTGTCCATGCCTCTCTCATCCATCACCCACTATCCATTCACCATCCCTCTACTTATCATCCATCCATCCATCCATCCTGCCACGCACCCATCACAGAGCAAGTCCTTCCATCCATCTCTACCACTGCCATCAGCCACCCACCCACCCACCGCTCATCTATCTATCTATCTATCTATCTATAGATGACAAACTTGCCCACGCCCGGGGCTTGCCA